TTCTTTTGTTAAAACTCCAGGCTGTGTTTTTTCATCTGTTTGGCCATAGGTTATATACATATATACATATTTTTCTTTAAGCTCAAGCAATGTATCCTTCTTTTGTTTAAACTCCAGGCTATGTTTTGTTCAAACCACAGACTACATTGTCTTCTATTCAGACTCCAACCTAGATTTTCTGCGGCTAAAACCCAAAGCTACATTTTCTTCTGTACATACCCCAAGCTACAATTTCCTCCACCATTCAAATCTCTTGTGCAGGTACCCTGGACCTGGACGAGTGGGCCCAGTTCCTCCATGCAAGGAGTCGGATCTATACAGACTTTGATGATGTGCGCAAGGAGATTGAGCATGAGACAGACCGGGTGGCGGGCAATGGAAAAGGCATCTGCAGTGAGCCTATCCGACTTAAAATCTTCTCAGACAAGGTGGTCAACCTGACTGTGGTGGATCTGCCAGGATTGACAAAGGTATGGTTGGACCAAGATTGAACGGGATTGTGGTTACTCTGTATTGGTGGATGTATTGTATGTTAGTACAGATTTAATGGAGGAGAATAGTTGTTTGATTTGATGTTATCACTATTATTTATGTTATTTTTATCACTCTTATTACTGTTTATAACCATTATTATTCTTTATCTTACTCCTCCTCTTCTGATTATTGTCATCATCATAATCACAACCATCATCTCATTTTCCCCAGGTACCAGTAGGAGAGCAGCCAGAAGACATTGAGCAGCAGATCCGGGACCTGGTCCTATTCTACATCGGCAACCCCAACTCAATCATTTTGGCCGTGTCGCCTGCAAACATGGACATGGCCACTTCTGAGAGCCTCAAGTTGGCCAAGGAGGTGGACCCTGATGGCCGCAGAACACTGGCTGTTATCACCAAGTTGGATCTCATGGATGCGGGTTAGTGGTCATAGACAAGACTAATTTTTATCAAAATGCATTTTTCTTTGTATTATATACTTTGTATAAGATTGGGAATTTGAGAAGAATATATACAGTGTGTATATGCATATATATATATATATATATATATATATATATATATATATATATATATATATATATATATATATATATATATATATATATATATATATTTTTTTTTTTTTTTTTTTTTTTTTTTTTTTTTTTTTTTTTTTTCTTTTTTTTTTTTTTCTTTTTCTTTTTCTTTTTCTTTTTCTTTTTCTTTTTCTTTTTCTTTTTCTTTTCTTTTCTTTTCTTTTCTTTTCTTTTCTTTTCTTTTCTTTTCTTTTCTTTTCTTTTCTTTTCTTTTCTTTTCTTTTCTTTTCTTTTTCTTTTTTTCTTTTTTCTTTTTCTTTTTCTTTTTCTTTTTCTTTTTCTTTTTCTTTTTCTTTTTCTTTTTCTTTTTCTTTTTCTTTTTCTTTTTCTTTTTCTTTTTTTCTTTTTCTTTTTCTTTTTCTTTTTCTTTTTCTTTTTCTTTTTTTCTTTTTCTTTTTCTTTTTCTTTTTCTTTTTCATTTTTCTTTTTCTTTTTCTTTTTCTTTTTCTTTTTTCTTTTTCTTTTTCTTTTTCTTTTTCTTTTTCTTTTTCTTTTTCTTTTTCTTTTTCTTTTTCTTTTTCTTTTTCTTTTTCTTTTTCTTTTTCTTTTTCTTTTTCTTTTTCTTTTTCTTTTTCTTTTTCTTTTCTTTTTCTTTTTCTTTTTCTTTTCTTTTTCTTTTTTTTCTTTCTCCTTTTTTCCCATCATAAAATGAACTAATCTTTTGATAATTAATTTATTTCAGGAACTGATGCTATTGACATTCTGTGTGGCCGTGTCATTCCTGTGAAATTAGGAATTATTGGTGTCGTAAACCGTTCTCAACAGGATATCATTGACAACAAGGTAGAGATTATGAATTGATAAAAATGAATTGTAAAATGACTGATTAACGATATTTTATTAGTAAGTAATCACTATACTGAAATAACATTAGAGTATATCGACTAATATATGCAATATGATATATAAGCTTGAATAGTGTTTTTGTGACAAATATAGATTTGTAAATGAAAATGAACTGTTTCAAGGGGTATGATTTGTGTATTTACTATATAAACTGATTCACCCAAATTCAAACCCTTTTCTACAAATGTCATTGTAAGAGGAAAAAGAACATGATTCATTTTGAATTTGATCATCACAAACCCAAGAAGATGTTACACTAAGAACCATATGCTGCCATTCATTAGAGGGCATACTTACATGAAACAGTCAAAGATCCAGTATGACATGCATGTTTTTATTATGCTTAGACATAACATAATTTTAGCTGTTTTATTCACAAGGTAAATGTTTATCATTTCTAGACTTCCTGAAAGTTTTTGAAAATATCGAAGAATGATTCTTACCCATTCCTTTGGCACTTACAGACCATTAAGGATGCCCTAAGGGATGAAGCTGCATTCCTTCAGCGGAAGTATCCCACGTTAGCAAACCGCAATGGAACTCCTTATCTGGCCAAGACCCTGAACCGCCTGCTGATGC